ACAGGGCTCCAGTGATCCTACAGAGCTCCAATGATCCCACAGGGCTCAATGATCCCACAGAGCTCCAGTGATCCCACAGAGCTCCAGTGATCCCACAGGGCTCCAGTGATCCCACAGAGCCCTGGGAGCCCCACGCTCAGTTTTACCCCAGGGCTGTGTGACCATCCCGGGGCTGCAGCTCCTTCCTGCTCCCAGCGCCGCTGCTCTGCTCCCCACCCCCACCCAGCAGTGGGAGCAGAGCTGCAGGGCTGTGCAGCACCATCAGCTGCTTCAGCGGCTGTCTGGCAGCAGCAGATCCCCATCCCCGTGTGCTGTGGGTGGCACACAGCTGAAACCCCACAGCCCCAGTTCTTTCAGGGGGGGAACGATGCACACTGAAGTCGTTTCTTCTGAATTTCTCCATCAGCACAGAAATTCCTTACCCACAGGGCGCCCAAAGAAGTGTGGGTGCCCCATCCATGGAGATGCCCGTGGCTGTGGGTGAGATTCTGGGGTCCCTTCCAACTTGACTGTGCTGTGGTTTTACGGGTCTGTGGTCTTCAAGGTGCCTTCCAACTCAACCCAACCCAACAGAATGCAACCCAGTGTAACCCAACCCAACCCAACCCAACATAACCCAACCCAACCCAACCCAACATAACCCAACCCAGTGTAACCCAATCCAACCAAGCCATGATTCCATGTTTCTGTGACCTTTAAGGCCCCTTCCAACCCAACCATCCTATGAGCCCCTGGTTCTATGAACTCTAAACAAACATCTCGTGAGGACGTGGCCATTGGGAGCCCTGAGCTGGATGTGCAGCACTGCTCCTTGTGGGAGCAGGACAGCTTAGTGCTGCTCATCCTATGCAGGGATGGAGCTGTGATGTCAGAGCCAGGAAAGCACTCTGCCTTCATCTTCCTAAGTGCTCCTCCATCACTGGTGCTGCTGCATTTCCGATGCTGCTTTCACTCCATCCATGGCCAGGAGCTGAATCACATTCTTGGCACAGTGGTTTCTCGTTAGAAACGTAGCACTGGGGCATTTTGTGTCAAGGTCGGGTCGCACCAAAGCCAACAGGCAGATGGGAGCCTTTCCCATCTTTGCCAGACCTCAGGATAGCTGAGAGATGGGGCGGCCGGTGGGTGCTGGAGCTGCACCCCATGGATGTGGGCCCTCCTCCGCTTGGAAATCTTTCTCCTGGTGGAGGACATGAAATATTAACACACTGCCTGCGGTGCCCGTGCTTTGTTTGTTGCAAGCTGCTTTGCTGATGAGATTTCCTGGGAATTCCCTACTTAGCAGCCACGTTTTTCATCCCGCAGACCACGGAGCAGCTTTAGCAAATGCTTCGTAAGGGATAAACGGCAGCAGGCTTTGAACCAGGGGAGAAGAAATGGCAGAGCCTTGTGAAGCACCCTGGTAATTGTTCTGCTTCTGGGGAGCAGAAGTGGGGACGCCGTCCAACCTTGGTATCGTTGTGCCGCACGCCCCAACGTGCTGCAGGAGATACACACACATGGCTGGTGCAGCGCTGGGCCTTATCTGCCCCGCACGGAGCCTCGGCGCCAGCGGTGGGGCTGCTGACACCCGGCCTCCTCCAGACCCTGCGCTTTTCTCTGAGGTCTTTTCCACGTTCCCTGGGTGGGCGCTGAGGGTCGGGGTTGCACCGGACAATCCCGGGGGTCTCCTGCGCCCTGCTTGGCTCTGTGTGACGCCTCCGGTCCCTTCGTGGCCTCAGCTCTGCAGGGAGCCGGGCAGCACCCGCCGGCTTGTGGCGAAGCCTGGTCGGGAGGCCGAACCGTGGGAGAGCCCCAATCCCGTTGTTGGGCACCGAGCCCGCGGCCTCATCCCGCCCCACTGAAGGACTGAAGGCCGCGCCGGGCCGCGTGCCGGCGTGTGACGCGGGGAGCTGAGCCCGCAGCGCGGCCCGCTAAGACGGAGCAAAAATAGCCGCCTAAGCGGGATCGGGGCCGCGGCTCGTGGCAGCGGCTCGCACAGAGCGCCGGGCCGCGGCCGGGCGTCGCGCGGTGCGGGCGCTGTGCTGACCGCCGCCCTTTGCTTTGCAGCGAGAAGCGCGCGCTGCGCGTCAGCGTGGCTCACCCGGTGCAGTGCAGCCTGCACGGCAGGAAGTGCTCCGTCTCCGTGGAGACGCGGATCGACCAATCGCAGCCGGATTTCACCAAGCATCGCTCCGGGTTCGTCCTCTGCGTGCCGGGCAAGTAGCCGCCCTGCGGCCCCGGGAGCGGCGCGGAGCTTTGGGGCTGCGACCGCCCGGCCCGTGGGATCCGTTTGGAGGCGCCGCGCCGGACGGCCCCGAAGCTCGGCGCTCGACGAACCCGAATCCGGGAGCTCCGCGGCCGCGGTCGCTCTGCGACGGCTCTGCGCGGCCGCCGTGGGTCGGGACGATGGGAAAAGCTTCTGAATTCTCCCCCAAAGCATTTATGGTACCGATGCCCCCCCCGCCCCCCCACGGCGGTGCCTCAAGCCCCCCCTCCCGGCTCTGCGGGAGGACCCAAAGACACCGCAGCGGGCCGGCGGCGCGGCACTGACCGACGGCACGGGGCGGTGCGAGGCTCTGCTGCCCGCTCGGCTGGGGCTCCCGGTGCAGAGCAGTTGGGAGGCCTCTCCGTGCCGGCTTTGCCTTAATTCCCCCTGCATTGCCCCAAACGTTCCCGTGACCTTCAGACGCCGCGTGCCCCCACAGCACCGCTGCAGTGGGGCTGCGCTGCGCCCCGAGGCTCCCCACGGCCGCACCGCGGCCCCGCTGCAGCCGCTCCCGGCACTGCCGGTCAGGTCGGGACTCACAGCACGATGGCAGAGATCAGAAATCCCAGCAGAGCCGTGGGGCAGCGCTGGAGCCCGACGCCGCCCATCCCGAGGGCAGCGGGACGCGCAGCCCCTCTTGGCCCCGTTCAGTGGGACGTGGGGCCGCCCCACGGCACTGCGGCCATAAGGACGTCCCCACGACCCCGGCTGCCCTCTGCCCCGACCCCCCTCCCCCGCCCCGCAGCCCCCTGGCGGTGCCCGCTTTGCACTCCGGGCTCTGAGCAGCACTTTGTGCCCCGCTGCTCCGTGCGGCGAGGAATGGCGTGGAGGAGATTGTGGTGCTGCGGGATGGCAGTGCTGTACGTCACGAGACGTCTGTATGAAATGCATCATCTGTTCCAGCTCTGGTTTTATATATATATATATATATAAAATGTATAGAGAGAGAGTTCTGCTTTGTTCCCACGAATGAACTGCTGCTGCGCTGCGTTGGGGCGAAGCCATAAACGAGCTGCTGCTGACCCGGGGCCGCGCTGCAGCGACCCTTCTTTATTTGTTTGTTGTTTTCAAGTCGTCGGCATTTGAACGTGTAAAAGAGCAACAAAAGAACCTGCCGTGCCTCCACCGCCAGCACTCAGCGCGGCCGTGGGGGGCAGATGGGCCCGGCGGGGGGGTATAAAATGTAGACCCCCAGCACAGAGAGCAGCGTGCCGTGTGATGGATGCTCAGTGCGTTTTATTTCATCAGCACAGTACAAAAATAAATAAAAATAAGGGGGAGGGGAGGGGGGGGCATTAAATTACAGGCACACGGGGCCCCGCGACACGGTCTGTCGGGTTATAAACCACACATACGTACAAACGCACTAAACACACACATACAAAAAGGAGACGAAGATATAAATTAAGAACAATACCCACCAATTTGGTCAACAGATCTACGGAGGAGATTGCACTAAAAAAAAAAAAAAAAACGGACGCGTGGAGCTGCAGCGGATCCCAATGTACAGCGATGGAGGAATGGCACCGTGTGCGGCGGGGCTGCGGCCCCGCTCCGGGTTGGGTTTTTTTGTTGTCGTTGTGTGTGAGCGTGTTTTTTTTGTTGTTGTTGTTGTTTTTTCCCTTTTTTTTCGTTTTTTTTTTTTTTCTTTTTTTTAATTCCCGAAGACACAAAATGCTCCGATGGCTGCATGCGCGATACCACTGTCAAAGCAACGATGAGAGAAGGGAGGGTGGGGGGCTGGCGGCGGTTCCCCGCTGGTTGGGGTTTGTCCGATAGCAGCAGATGCGGTCCCGGAGGTCCTTCCAACACTCCCGGATCGGTGCCCGACGGGAACCCCGACCCGCAACCACCGCCGCGGGGTCGGCGCTGGGGGCCGCGGCCGCCCGACTGCAGGGGACGCGGACGGGGCGGCGCGGGGCTCCAACACCGCGACCCCTCCGTCGGTCACTTCAATGGGGATCGTCGGTGCCGGGGCCACCTCGAAGGGAATCGGCGGCGGGCCGAGGAGAGCCCTCCTCCGGGCCGCCTCGGAGAGGAGAACGGATGGGGCGGCGGGAGCCCCGAATGGGGGCCGCCTCGGTGGGGATAACGGACGGGGGGAGGGGAAGCCTCCGGCGGAGTCACCTCGGGGCGGCGGCGGTCGGGGCGCTGCGGGGCTCACCGGTCGAGCCCGATGAGCAGACGGCCCTTCTCCTCCGCGCCGCTCTCCTTCTTGAGGTCGGCGAAGACCTGCGTGAAGAAGTGGGGGTCGGCGTTGACCTGCAGCATCTTGGGGCTCATGAGGTCGATGATGGAGAGGCAGCGGTCCCAGAAGGCCTCCTTACAGCTCTCCACCAGGAAGGGCTTCAGCGGGTAGGAGATCTCGTTGCCCATGTAGGAGTAGGAGAGGTACAGGCAGGTGAGCAGCACCGCCTGAAGTTCGTGGTCGCTGCCCACCTCGGCCGAGATGACGTCGCGGCACAGCATGTAGAGGAACACCACGTTGGCCGGCGTGATGAAGCCCTGGTCCTGCCAGCCCTGCAGCAGCAGCGAGCGGTCCACGGAGCGCAGCCACAGCACCGGGTCGGTGGGCGAGAGGTGCTTCAGGCGGTAGCAGCGGCGGCACAGGAACTCGCCCAGGCAGCGCAGCAGTTCGCTGGTGGACGCCTGGACCACCACGCGGCGCGGGGTGGCGGTGGCGGCGGCGGGACCCCCGGGGGGGTTCTTCTGAGCCGGGGGGAGCGCGGCGGCGGAGGAGGAGGAGGAGGAGGAGGGCGGCGGGGGCGCGAAGGTGGCGAGGTTGGCGCAGGAGAGCGATTTCTTCAGGTTCTCGTTGTTGAGGTGGGTGACGTTGCTCTGGTAACCGCCGTTGGGCTGCACCTTTTTGGAGCTTTTCTTCTTGGCCGAGACGGCGGCGATGCGCTTCCAGGGCAGCACCGAGATGAGCGAGTGCCGCTTCAGGCCCTTCTCCTTCGCGTTTTTGCTGTTCTGCACCGCCGTGTAATGCCCCACCGTGGCCGTCCCCTCCTCGAACAGCGGGGCCTTCCGGTAGCTCGGCGACAGCGACAGCACCGTGCCCATGGCGCCGGCCGCCCGCCGGGCCCCGCCGCCCGCCCCGGCCCCGGCCCCGCTCCGCCGCCGCCGCTCAGCGCCGCGCTCAGCCCCGCCCCTCCGCCCCTCCGCCCCGCGCGCTCCCGCCGGCGCAGTGCGCGCCCCCGCGCCGGCCCCGCTCCGCCCCTCCCGCGTCGCCACGTGCGTCCGGCGCGCCGGCGGGGAAAGGAGAGGCCGCGCCCCCTGCGCCGCGAAGCCACGCCCACCGCGCGGAACCACGCCTCCTCATTGGCGCGCTCCGCGCTGACCGCGCCCCCGAGCGGGGCTTTGGCCACGCCCCCCCGCCCGGCGTTACGGAGCCGCGCTCGGCTGCCCGCAGCTCAACGGGAGCCGCCGGCAAAGGGAGCAACGCGCTGCTCGGCACAACGCCGACGCTCCGTGCGGGGCAGGCGGCACCGGGCGGCGCCTCAGGGCCCCGCAGCTCAACGCGGGCACGGAACGGCTCGGGGGCGACGCGGAAGGCGCTGGCAGCGCAGCGCGGCTCTGAGAGCCGCACAGAAGCCCCCCCCACCCCCAGCAGCTCTGCCCGCAGCTCTGCGCTCCCCCCGCACTGCAGAGGAGGGAGATGAAAGTGAAAGAGAAGAAAAAAACCCAAACCAAAAAAACCTCATTTTATTGGAACTCATCTGAACATCAGATACAGCGGTGGTGGGCAGCACAGAACCGTTCAACGCGGCGGCGGTGCCCAAAACCCACCCAGAGATCGGGGGGTGGGGGGGAGGGGAAGACGTGGAGGAGGTGCAGTGCTGAGGAACGGGGCGGTGCGGGGCATCCAGCGCTGCGCGGCGGCTCCGGGGCCAACGATGGGGGGGCGGCCGGGTCTCAGCGCCCCAGCAGCGGCGCGAGGCGGAGCGGAGGGCGCGGAGCGGCCCCCCGTGCACGGAGCGGCCGCTGTTCGTCTCCTGCGTTCCGCCGAGTGGCGGCGGGGAGGGGCGCGGCTGGGGCCGCACCGCAGGAACAGCACCGGGAGGGGAGGATTAAAAACTTTCCGAGCGAAAAGTGGAACAAAATGTCTCCTAAAGGATTCACTCTCCCGTCACACACACACGCGGCAGCGCAGGGCCGGCTCTGCACAACACGAGGGGCTGTGAGCAGGGGGGCACGGGGCGCTCCTGCAAAGCACGGCTGCGCCCCTCTCACCTATGTCAGCTTCTTGGCTTTGTTGTAGAGCGAATCCACCACTTTGCTCATGTTCTGAATCGTCTCCAGGGCAGCTTCGTAGGTTTTGTCCACGGGGGGCTCGTCGAAGATGATGAGGACGCCCTCGCCCTGGTCGAGGATCCCTGTGAGGCACAGAGCTGCAGTCACCGGGTGCCAAAGGGCTCCGTGTGCCCCAAAGCACAGCCAGAGTGCTGCCATGGGGCTGAGCACAGCTGGGCAGCACTGAACCGAGTGCTGATTAATGAGCAATTAACGCCCCGGATTAATGGAGCGGTAGCGACGCCTCATTGTTTCCCCACACCGTGGGCAGCCTGAGGGGTGCAGAGGGGCAGGAGGGGACCCAGGGCAGTGGTGCGGGGTCTCACCGTGGAACTTCTTGTCCAGGATCATCTGTGAGAGTTTCCTTTCCACGTCCGCCTGGAAATGAAGCGCGCAGATGTTGGGAAACGCTCCCAGCACCGCCCTGCTGACAGTGGGGCACAGCAGGGCAGGGCAGCCCCACACGCAACACCAACAGCCGTGCCGCAGCTGAGCCCCTGACACTGGGGTGCCCCCCAGGGCCGCCCTTACCTTGGAGAGCTTGATGAGGCCGGAGATGTGCTCCATCTGTAAGAGCAATGGCGCAGCTGCAGCGCCCCTCCGGGCAAGGGCTGCCGAGGCTTCCCCACAAGGCCCAGACCCACGCATGTCGCAGGGCTGACACTCTGCAGGGCCCCCCAGACTCACTCCCTGCCCCAGACGACTGCGGCCTCAGCCCTGCCCTACCACAGGAGGGGCTGCTCCTCCCCCCTGTGTGTCAGCAGAAGGGGAGCGGAGCGCAGCAGGTGTGCAGGGCCCCCAGCAGCACTCGCTGGGTACTGACCTGCACTCGGGAGAAGGGCTCGATGACTCTGATCAGGTTCTGCTCCAATAAGTTGTCGTAGAGCTTTGCCAAGTGAGTGTTAATGATGGGGTCGTCCCGGAGCTCCACTTTGTAATCCGTCAGCGCCTACAGAGCGGGAGCAGTGAGTGCAGCACAGCCACCCCCAGCAGAGCGGAGCACGAGGGGCCGCAGCGTGGGGCACCGCAGCCCCCAGCCCCGCAGCTCCCCAGCTTCACCTTCTCAAAGTCCGCTAGCGAGCGGTTCTTGCTGGCCTGCGCCACACACTTCAGCGCCTCCGTCTACAGGGGAAGAAAGGAGCCGCTCGCCTGCGGGGTCGGCAGCAGCGGGGCGAGGATTGGCGCCCAGCAGCGCCGGAAGCCCTGGCTGCCCTCCAGCAGGACGAGCTGCTCAGAGCCGCGCTCCCACCTGCCTCCCCGCGTAGCGCAGCGCCAGCTTGCCGCTCACCAGCGCCTGCACGTCCTCAGGGCTGTGGGAAGGAAGGAGCACTGAGCTGCAGCCGCGTTCCCCCCCAGCACCGCCCGCTGCCATCCCCTCTCCCAGCACCAGCGCCACGTACGCGTTGAGCATGATCTTGCAGAGCAGCATGTACTTGAGGGCCGTGATGGCCTTGGGGTTGTCAATGGAATCGTAGCCCTCAAACGCCTCGTAGAAATAGGAGTAGGCCGTTTTCCAGTCCTTCTCCTCCGCTGCATGGATGATCCCTGGGTGAGGGGGGGCGAGATGGGGCTCAATGGGCGCCCACAGCTCCAGCAAGCGGAGTGCCGCGCCGAGCTCCCGCGGTACCTGACTGCATGTCCAGGGCAGCCTGCAGCTTGGGGGGGCAATAGATGGCGTTGGCCGTGGTGCGCGCGGAGGTGAGCGCGGCGCGCGCCTTGGGCAGGTTGCTGAGCGCGTGGTACGTCTTGCTCTCCAGCAGCTGCACCTCCACCAGCAGCGCTTTGTCGTCCATCTTCTTCAGCTCCCGGAGCAGCTGGGAGCCTGCAGGGACAGAGCAGCTGAGCCAGGCTGCGGCACGCGAGGCCAGGAAGGGCAGGGAAAGGCAGCGGGGCACCATGCGGCTGGGACGGGGTGGTGCGGCCCCATGGCTTCAGCACAGCCGCACAGGCGCCGCTCCCGGCCAACATGGCAACGGGGCTCCTCGGGTCCCCAGAGCTGCGGGAGACGGGCCCGCGTGGGAGACGCGCCCGCTGAGGCCCCACGCCCCCAGCCCAGCCCTGCTCCTCCCGTCTCAGGCCCCAGCGCTCCGACGGAGGAGCGTTTTGAGAGCAGCCGCGGGAGCGGGGCGCCACCAGACGAGCAGCACGGCACCGCTCCGCGCAGCTCGCGGCCGCTGCCGCCGCCCAGCGGGCAACTCACCGAGCTGCAGCGCCTCCTGGTACCGCTTGGTGTCGAAGTACAGCGAGACCAGCCGGGCCTGCGGGCACGAAGGACCGTGGGCTCACGCGGCGGCGCTCCGACCCGTGCGGGGTTCGGCCCCGGCCGGGGAAACGCCGCTGTGAGCCGCGGGGTGGGAGCAGCGTACCTCCAGAGCCTGGCGGAGGAAGGTCCTCTTCTCAGACTTGGCCCACTCGATGCACTCCAGGCACAGATCAACCTGATGGGAGCAGAAAGAGCAGTGCTGAGCTGCCCGCCCAGCAGCACGGCTGAGGAAGGACAGCTGCTGTCACCTCTGGCTTTGCTCCAGGTGACACCGACCCCCACCGCCCAGCCCGCAGCTCCATGCAGGCACAGCTCCCAGCGCTCGGTGACAGATGTGAATTACAGCTCCCAGCACGAGGGAAAGTCGAGGCCAGGCTTTCCCCAAGCCTTACAAACCCAAAGCACAAACCTTCCCGCACACACGTGGCTCTCAGGAGCTTTTCCTCACCCCCAGGACAGCCCTGCCGTGCCGGAACAACCAAAACAAAGGCTGGGCTTTCCAAGCTTCCCTGAGTTGCTGCTGAAATCCCAACTTCTGAACCCCTGGGTTTGGTTTGGAAGCTCTGGGCGCAGCAGCGCTGCTCCTCGGGGGCGGCCGCACAGCCCAGCACAGAGCAAGCAGAGGACAAGGACAGCCCTGCAGCAGCTGCCAGCCCTGCAGCCCTCAGCCCTCCTCATCAACGAGGACGCCAGGGCAGCCACTCGTTAAGCAGGTGAGCAGTGGGAGGCAGCCTCACCTCCTGGCCCGTGGCCGCCTCCATGTCGAGGAACAGGTCGAGCAGGGAGCGCACCAGACGGGCGGCCTTGGCCTTGCTGATGGAGTTCAGGAACGGCCGCACGTATTTCAGGAGCCCCCCCAGCTCTGCACGGGGGGAAGAACAGAAGCACAGCTGGGTGACCTCAGCACCGCAGTGCAGAAGTGCTCCTGGCACAACACCGAGTGTCTTCTCCCCCACCAACCCTTTCCCAACCATCTGAAAGTTTCATCAAAGCCCAGCAGCTCTCCCTCCCCCCCTCCTCCCCCAGCTCTGATGAAGGCTCGGTAGAGCAGCTCCCGCTCCAGGAGGTCCTTCGTGCCCCAAACGCCCCGAATCCCAGCACAGACACCACAGGCACCGAATGCAGCCCCCAGGACCAGCACTCCCAACCCCCCTCACCTTCTGCCTGCCCCGTCTTGGCCAGCAGCGACCCCAGCTCCAGGATGCTCTGCTCCTTGACCTGCACCGCTTCCTCATCGTTCTCCTGGACGTCGCGTTTCACTGGAAAAGAGCACAGCAGTGCTGGGGGCCCCCGGAGGATCGGCGCCGCTGTCACACAGCACAGCGACAGCCAGCAGTGCCACGGCCAGCGCCACTGCGACATGCAGCCTGTGCTGCCCAGCACAGGGGCTGAGGCCCCACACCCCCAGCCCTGCTCCTACCATCTCAGGCCCCACGCCTTGCCTGTCCCCCAGCCCCCCAACCACCTCCATAGCACACACCACACACCTTGTGCACTCTTCACCCCTT